CCCCCTCCCCCCTCCTCTTCATCGGGAGATGTCATGGTCGAGCTCCCCTCTCACTATGGACACAGTACACGTGTGTCACCACAGAAGCCTCAATATGTCCCAGACTCAGGGCAGTAATGCAGCCGTGTCAGGTATGCTCATGAAAACCCCCTTTAATAACCCTACAACCCTCCCCCTTCCTGTCACCCAGTGGGGGGCGATATCACTACAAATTAAGGCATGGACCGGACACAGAGACTCAATCATGGAGGACACCAATGTGGCTGGGGGCACAGGGGGTCAGCGAGGTGAACAGCGAGGTGGCCTCCTTCTCGGACTCTGGTAAACCCAACAAAGCCTCTCTGTGGGTCAGCCCCCCCCCCCACGTCGAGCCCCTTGCATTGTTACCCAGGATAATCCAGCCGTTCACAACAGCGGCCAACACATGCAAGCATTTAGGCCAACGTTGGCGTGGCCACGCCCACCAAGCCCTGCCCATAAAACCCAAAGGTCATCCCCCCGCCGCCCCCTACTGGCTCCCCAGCTACATTGCCCAAAATCCCACACTTACACATCCACGGGTTGAGCAAATTTTGGAGATCTCAGCCCCCCAGGTAATAAATGTACCGCGAAAGCACCACCTCCCCCTCCCATCTCTCTCTTCCCAAGGAGATGACTGCCTTAAGAGGTATGTGACGTCTCAGACGGCGGTCAAGGCGTGGCGACCACGACGTCGCCCATCTAGCAGCCGTCCTCACTTCCCGGACGCACCTGCAGTCTGTTTACAGGAGCCTTAAGCGGTTAAAAACCGCACAGAGAGAAACGTGGAATAACAAAGACAGCCTGCCATGATCAACGTCTGCCGTTATTAAATGCATCCGCCTCCGCGTTGGGGAGAGATGAATGGCCCCCCAGAAATCAAAAGGGGGTGCTGGAGTGGAGCAAAGGCGGTGATGTTAAAGTAAATATTGATATTTGGCCACTGTGACACATGATGAATACCGGCTATTAGAAAACTACCACAAAAATATTTGCTCTACAATTAGTGGGGGCGGGGGTTTTACACGTATTTAATTCCCGTTTGTCTGAAGCCCCCCCTCCATTAGCGTTCTCAGCACTCCGGGTCGCAATGGCCACTGTGGCAGCAAGGTGCACAGGGGCGGTCTGGGAATGCTGGGGGCTCGTGAAGCTCAGCACGGCTTAGAGGTGTGAGGCCACGCCCACCGAGCCCCCATAATGCCCTAGGAGGTGTGAGGCCACGCCCACTGAGTCCCCATAAATCCCTAGGAGGTGTGAGGCCACGCCCACTGAGTCCCCATAAATCCCTAGGAGGTGTGAGGCCACGCCCACGAGCCCCCATAATCCCCTAGGATGTGTGAGGCCACGCCCACTGCGTCCGACAGTAAAACCTGCTAAATGACTTGCTATGCTGAAGGACAACATGCGAAATAATGGTGACAGATGTGACCCCGAGTGGAATCTGTTCTTGGACCCTTGAGAAAGAGGCTCGGCCTGAATTCCGTCCAGCGAAGCGCAGCCGTATCAATCTGGCAAAAACTCAAACCTGCCTTCGGTTCAGAAAGCTCACGCTTTCTGGCTGGAGATCCGCTCTCCCAGACGGGGGCCCCGTGTCGCCCTGCGGAGGCTTTAAAGGGGCAGCCCTCCCTATCATCCACACCCCCGTCCTCCGATTCCAAACCGGCATCACACTCCGGTCCGATGACAGCTGTCCGTTATCCCCGACACTGTCAGACGCTGGACTCCAAGCGAAGAACAATAGCTACCTCTGTGTCCTTAACACCCCCCCCCCCCCCACTCCCCGGCCACCCACACCCCCGTTCCCCCACCCAGCATCTAAGAAAGCTTTAATGAGGACGGACAGGAAGTGGCTGTGGGGGGGCAGGGGCTGGAAAAGTCCACATCTAGAGACTGAAATTTGAGATGCAGGAAGTTACCCGATGGATGTTCCCATCAGAGGAGAAGAATTATTCTTTTTTTGGGGGGGGGGG